TACATGGGCTACGTCTGACTCAGCACAACGCTATGGCTCTGTCACGCCACTCATTTACTCACCTAGACAACACTGACCCTTCCAAGGAGAGTCACAGGGGAGGAGATGGTCATGAATCACAATCTTACTCAAAACTGTACAGAAATGCTGAATTCCCAATTCCCAGAGCCTCTACATTCAAATTGTACTATTCAAATGATATTACTAACAGGACAGCACAGAACGATTGTCAACTTCCCACTGGGCAAAAACTGGTTGAATCAACTTTGTTTCCAAAGTCATTTCAACTAAAAAATTCAATGCGATGACGTTGAATCAACATAAAAAACTGAATGGATTTGAAAAAAGTTAGCAACATAAGGGAATTGTCTTTTTTTTCACCCAACTTTTAACCTAAATCCAATGACTGGGTGACATTTTTGGTTGATTTCACATTGAATTCACGTTAGTTGTCAACTCAACCAAATGTAAATCCAAACTAGACGTTGAACTGACGTCTGTGCCCAGTGGGTTGCTGCTATTCCACTCAGAGGTCAATCGTTCTTGCGTGGTAATCATTTAACAGCTGCTCTAGCAGAGTAATCCTATTGGCCTGGGACCAGTTTAAAAAATAATGATCTATTCGGATGTCACCTATCAGATAGGATTCAATTAATAGAAATAGAATGAATAGAACGGGACTCCCAATTCATGTCAATGATTCGTCCGTTCTATTCATTCTATTTAATCCTATCTAATAGGTGAAATCCAGATAGATATATATTTATTTTTTTACTGGGACCTGAAGATTAGCTGTATAAACTACAGTGATGTGAAAAATACACTGTCTCCAACCAGCCGCAGACTGTCAAACATGACTACAGTAAGAAATCTAGATCCTGCCAAGCAGAACATCACTTCAGCATTCTCTGAACAGAATGTTCACATAGAAATGCATAGCTTAGAACAGACATGATTATCAGTTAGGTAGAATTGGAAATCATGTTAGCTTTATTCAATACATTTATATCTACCAGTTTCAGAAATATTTTTGTCTCACTGAATAATACACACCAGTTGTTTGCATTCTATCAATGAACAGGAAATGTAAAATAAGAAATTCAAGGAGAGTGATGACGGCAGCCACCTTGATCATCAGTTCAACCTCAGGTATAAAATGCAATTGAGTCAGTGTTCTCGCAATTTACATAATTTCTGCTGCTAATCACATAATCCAATTTGTCTCTGGCAACATATCAGTTTAGGATTCGTTTGCTATAAAAAGCTGTCGTCAATGCAGAGCCAAACATCTGTGGACTACAGGGAAAAAAAGAGGACTGAGCACGCCCCCATTCTCATCGACGGGGCTGTAGTGGAACAGGTTGAGAGCTTCAAGTTCCTTGGTATCCACATCACCAACGAACTATCATGGTCCAAACACACCAAGACAGTCGTGAAGAGGGCACGACAAAGCCTATTCCCCCTTAGGAGACTGAAAACATTTGGCATGTGTCCTCAGATCCTCAAAAAGTTATACAGCTGCACCATCGAGAGCATCCTGACTGGTTGTATCACCGCCTGGTATGGCAACTGCTCGGCCTCCGACCACAAGGCGTTGAACTGACGTCTGTGCCCAGTGGGTGTGTGCTGCTGTTCAACAAAAATAACTTGCCATGGTGGTGGTAGGCATGGTGGTATGCATGTTGGTATGCATGGTGGTAGGCATGGTGGTATGCATGTTGGTACGCATGGTGGTAGGAATGTTGGTACGCATGGTGGTACGCATGGTGGTAGGAATGTTGGTATGCATGGTGGTAGGCATGGTGGTACGCATGGTGGTAGGTATTGTGGTATGCATGGTGGTAGGCATGGTGGTACGCATGGTGGTACCCATGGTTTTAGGCATGGTGGTACGCATGGCGGTATGCATGGTAGTAGGCATGGTGGTACGCATGGTGGTACCCATGGTGGTAGGCATGGTGGTAGGCATGGTGGTATGCATGGTGGTAGGCATGGTGGTACGCAACACATACTAAAAGGAGTAAGAAAGCATTGTAATAAAGGTGTGGGCTCAGAGGAATTGAGTTCGGTAATTTGGTCTTCACATCCCAGTAGTGACTTGATAAGAGCTGGGTGTGACAGTATAATGTGGTCTCAACGCTGAATTCCTGGGAGGCCAGAGCTTCCTGATTTGTGTAAAAGCTCCGGATGTCAGTTAACCCATTGGTGTCATCAAATTTTTTAAAGATGTTTTGAGACACCATCTCAAACAAGAGACCATCTCACATCAGGAGAGACAGAGAGAGAGAGAGAGAGAGAGAGCGAGACCATCTCACATCACAAGCGAGAGCGAAAGAGAGAGAGAGAGAGAGACAGGTTCACTATTCAAGCCTAAGGTGTGCTGTAGACTTGTGAGAGCTGCACCATAAATCACTGAGGGTTAGAGCATATTTGAGTACTTCTATTTGCAATACACACTCTTACAAAAAAACCTAAAAGGGTTTTTTGGCTGTCCCCATAGGAGAACCCTTTGAAGAAACCTTTTTGGTTCCAGGTAGAACCCTTTTGTGAGGGCTCTACATGGAACCCAAAAGGGTTCTACCTGGAACCAAAAAGGGTTCTCCTATGGGGACAGCCGAAGAACCCTTTTGGAACCCTTTTTTCTAAGAGTGCAGTTTAGTGAAAGTTATTCCCACAAGCACTTTCCCATTGGACTAAGTCTATAAGGCCATTCCCTGTAGTTATTAACTACATACCACCATTCTTCTTGAGCAGAACACTATTGACTGATGGTTCTATATTCTTAGTAAAGACTAACTGACAGAGTATAAAATGTTTTTGCTTCCAGATGTTGCCTTCTTGAATTACAATGTGTTTTACACTTGACAGCCTTGTTGTCTCAATACACAGATTCACTTTTACATAACTGTTTTGAATAAATCACTGTTGATGGGCTTTACAGGCATTTCTTTCCCCCAGAAGAGACAAATCAACTCCCCATCCACTCGTCCTAGAATTGCTGTTGGCTGATTTACACAGCAGATCTCCAAACCTATGTTAAAACAACAACATCTGACAAGATATTTGATAGCGCTAGCCTTTGCTCAGCGTGTACCTTGCCAAGGATCATATTGAAAAAGGGTTCCATAATGAATTATGCCTGTCATTGATCTGGGTTCTGCCTGATACGTGCTGCTTGAAAAGCCTTCTGGAAGGTGAGGTAGAGTACAGTAGGTATGCATGTCGATGTTTAGCAAGCACAGTAGGCCATATTGTCTCTTTTCCCCACTGAGGGCTTATCATCACAACACAGTGTGTGAGAGAGAGAGAGAACTAACTACAACCAGATGGCAAATATGGCAAAAGTGTACATTTGGATTTTTACACAATAACATGACAAGTCAGTTTAATACAAATTCCATTGATGAATCAACATAGATAAGGTTGAGCATTTGAAGACCTGAGATTGCCTGAGGCAAACTCAGATTGCAAGGTTAGCCTGTTCCTTCATCTACTTATTATCAACCTGTATCTGCGTAATGTAATTACATACAATGGCAGTGAACATCTGATCATCTCAAATCTAATTGAACAGAAGGCTTGTCTATGCCTGAGATTGGAATTTGTTCAAAACATTGTGATGCAATACATAACAGCTGGATCGCCCTCTGCAGGGGCTGTCGACATCAGAAGGTACATTTTGTACACAACAAAATCTCTGCTTACATTTGTCTGACAATTTGTTGACAATCTCTGCCTTCATTGATTTGACTACTGATTTGACTACAGTTGATTTGACTATTGTTGTCATGACACTGAGGTGAAAGAAACCCAGGTTTTTGCCTGTGTGGTTTCATCCACAGCATTTTGCCTACTCCACTATGAGCACATCTATAGGGTTAGTTAGTGTATGGTACCTATTGCACCGTGTGTACCAGTATCATCACGGGCAGAAGTATAGGCTTATCTATTACTCATACCCACATTATAACTGCTGATATTTCTGGTTATTACAAGCCATTAGATGTGAAGAGATGACTCATACCAGAAGACTTGCCCTGAAGCAGCACATTCTCTGAGGTATACCTCAGTGTCCTGGAATTTACCAGGTAACATTGACAAACAAGGTATGCTATGGGTTCTTCTGAGGGTTGACCACTCAGTACAACATATGGTTGAACACTTTAGATTGTTACCCTGCTCTCCATACCCTGTATGATTACTCTACAAAAGAATGCCTGATGCCACTAGTAACATAAGATTCATGTTGCAAAAGGCTTTGACCTGTCTGTGACGTTTCACATGCAACTACTTGCACGGCCACGACATGAGCAAATTCCTCCCCTTATCTCAGGCACACAGACTCACTCTTCTTGAGACTGACACACGTTCAGTTCTCAGCCAAACAAGCCTACCACTGCTTCTCACAAACTGTCAGTTGTATTATGGATATAAATATAGCACACGTACCTCCATTTCCGCAGCCTAGGAAATTCCAGAACTGCATATTTGTAGGCTATTTACATTTACAGAGAACATCCAACTGGTGCAAATCACTTCCCAAAGCACTTCTGTCAGTGCTACGGAGCTGATAACCTGACACCCTCTTACCAACACACCTGGCCCCTCCTCCTCTCTTCCAAACTCCTCCCTTTATACACTAGCTTGAACTTGTTACACCAGCAGGCATGGCAATAATGATACTGATCGTTGAAACAAAACTAAACGAATAGATGATTCAGGAATGCAGATAAAAGAATGCTGCTCGCCTGCAATCATATGCAGTCAACAAATCAATGCAACTCATTGTAAAAAAAAATATATATATTAATTACTAAATAATTACAGTTTATGAGCACGCTCTCCTGTTTGCACTTTGACAGTAACTGAAGAAAGCTCAATATCTGTGAACCTCCTAACACAATGATGGTTATTATACATGTTTTTTTAATGGAGTTGAGCAGTTTTTTGTTAATACACAAGTGGAATAAGGAACAGTCCATATTCGACTTGTGTAATTACATCAGCTTGTCAAATACAGAGGATACTAGGGGCTCCTCTAATCTTCCCCTATTCCCCTGCAAGTATACATTACTCAAAGGTAATATTAACAATTGCATACGGATTGACTGGGGCTGAGCAGGCTACAGAACTACATAATGCAATGGCATACAATGTAGCGAGCTCTCAAAACAACCATGAGAGTTGTTACAATTTGTAACATTGTAACAATGTTGTAACAACTTTTTTATTTTCAACTAGCAACATTGTATCATTTCCCTATTCACCACGGGGTAGCTACTCGCTGTACACTATTTGAATAAGACATTCTGTGTTCCCTGAACCTTGCACCTAGGCGTGAGATTCGGACACTGCACCACTGTTTGCAGAAACATGCATATTCATGTGCATAAAGGGTTTATTCCCCTTTTCGCCATCTAATGAAACCGTATTTTCTCCACCAAAAACGCCAATTAAAGTAGGCTAACAGAATGTTCCGACTCTCACTGCAACCCATTGTCAATGACTGGTGTCTTACTATGCTAACTGGCTAGCGTTAAAGTTATTTAATATCCTCGACATCATTAAAAAATGTATAAGGCCACGTTATACTCACGTATATCTTTACTATCGAAGCTCCACCTCAACTATTTCCGTTAACCGGTCTCCTATCCTGCAAATATGTGTTACAATCCCGTTATAACCGTATAGCTGTGTGGGTTTCCCTCTCCGTTTTGGTTTCTCCACAACACCGTGCTCGAGCTCCCTCCTCTCGGTTCCCACTGACACAGCAGCTTTGCATCCTAATAGTTCCAATATGGCTGACGTGTAGTGACCATGTAGTGACCATGCCCAGTAGAAACGGCCGGTGAGTTCAGAGGACTCACTGACCATCTCAGGTGTCAAAAGGCAAATTCAAAAAATGTATGCACGCACGACTGTAAGTCGCTTTGGATAAAAGCGTCTGCTAAATGGCATATTATATTATATATAAATTGTTCTACTTGTAAATAGCTTTTTCCCTGACAATTGCATCAACGAGCATTGCAGTTCTTCACAAAGCCTTATTTTCGTATACTAAAGTGACTAATGCAATTTTCATAGATGTTTCATAAAATGTCAACATTGATTATACAAATAGCCACTTTCATTAGAAATAATGTTATTTCGCAATGCAAAAAAATGCTTTGACAACAGAGTTCTCTGTGGTTAAACAGACTCACATTTACATGTCATTCACACCCACACAGACAGACATGGGAGAGAACTCTGTGTTTCCATTGTCTAACAGACACATCCCAAAACATTCCTTTCATTAACCTCCCTGCATAATACTACAACACACAGCAAGCCACGCCCATACCAGAGACCCAGTCTAAGTCCCAAATGCACCCTATTCCCTAAATAGTGCAGTACTTTTGACCACAAGCTTATTGGCCCTGGTCAAAAGTAGTGCAATTTCTAGGGAATAGGGTGCCATTTGGGACGTACCCCCAGGGTGCATTAGAGCAGCCTCCCACCACCCTCGGCCAGACCACTGAATCCCTGCCCAGAACATGGACTGGAAGAAGAATGCATTGTGGATGAGGATGCCTGCCATAGTAAGATACAGAATCACTGATCTGTTCGCTGTTCACACCCAAGGCAACCTCGCTCTAAAGGGCTAACTAAGACATATTCACTGAAGAACTAACCCTCAATGCCCATACGATGGGGTGAAGCACACGGTAACTGCTCAGAATATGATTTTAGATGACAATGGTTTGTATTCAAGACCAAATTCAGCGTTCTCAGTATATGAAAGAAAGGGTGACTTGCATGAATAAGTTTAGGAATACAAACCGTACAATACTTTTTTATTGTAAGTGACAGCTAAGACATGGGTGCAGCGGAGATATGAATCTGAAAGAAGACATTTAGTGTATCCAGAATATTGTTAGTGAAATAAGTAAAAATGCTGTGAAACAGTCGGAGAAATGCTATTACATCATCACACAGTATATAAAGGCAGTCCCCAACATTAAAATAAAGAGAACGACATGGTTCTTCATGATCAGGTAATTCCCTGAGCCTCACTGTCCACTGTATATTTACTGCGTCCCTAAAGGCACCCTATTCTCTATAGGGCTCTGGTCAAAAGTAGTGCACTATATAGGGAATAGCAGGGTCCTCACCAGGATTTTCTAACAAGGTGGTGCTGCTGAGTACGGCAGGGAGGGGGGAGACCAGACCAGAAGGTGGCGCAACGTGGGTGCCACTTGGGACACAGAATCGAAGGATGTGAAAAACAAAATGGCCAGTCTTCAGTCTTTTATCCAGGAAAAACACATTTCAGAGCAATGCTTTGAAAAAACAAGAACAGTTTATAGTCTATGGCAGGGGCGTTGAACTCTGACCCTATGAGGTCTGGAGCCTGCTGCTTTTCTGTTCTACCTGATAATTCATTGCACCCACCTGGTGTCCCAGGTCTAAATCAGTCCCTGATTAGAGGGAACAATGAAACAAAGCAGTGGAACTGGCTTCGAGGTCCAGAGTTGAGTTTGAGGAGTCTATAGCTTCTTCAGACTTTTAGGACTCCTCAGGGTCTGCAGGGCTCTTCCTCTAACCTGGTCCCAGATCTATTTGTGCTGTTTAGGAAACTCCTGTCATTGTTGTGCCAAACGTTTTATTCACTTAAAAGAGTTGGCGAAACCACACAAACAGATATTGGACCAGGCTACTCGTTCTCTACTCGACCTTCCAAATGGCGATTTTGCCATCCTGGCAGGCGGAGCCGCTGAGTACATAGCGGTCCTCGGCAGAGCACAGTGCCTGGACACTGTCTGTGTGGGCCATCAGCTCCTTCTCCACACTGTGGCTCTCTGTGTCCACTATGTAGATCTTCCCACTCACCCTGCACTGGTCCGGGCTCGGCCCTCTGCAGCCAACCCAGATCTGGAGGAGGGAGGGGTAGAGACAAACAAGGAAGATAAGCTTGTTGAGGCTTTGCAGTTGTACTGTGACATTTACTACCTAAATAAAAAGCAGCATTTGCTCTGGAAACGCCAATTCTCACTATGAGAAAGAAGATAATTAATGATGGTAGGGTGGAATGTATGGTATCATTTCTAAGTCCTGTACTATCTTAACTGCTACTTTGAAAGCTTTTGTAGAAATTGCAAAATTCAGAGAAAGACGATTGTTGACAGAATCATTTACTAAATTATTAGGCGCTGCTTATGAATGTGTTTTGTATTGGTTAATATTAATGTGTTAAGAGGTTCTTATGTTGGTACCCTTCCAATAAAGTCTTATCAGCAAAAAAATGCAAAGAACAGCAGGTGTGAACATCCAACCGAGACCATTATTTTCTCACCTGATTCTTAACCTTGATCATACGGTTGACCCCTGTACAGTTCTGTAGCTGTACCCTCAGGAAAGGCTTGGTCAGGTCTTTAAAGTGCCAGAGACAGAGCTCGTCAGAATCAGAACAGCTCGTCCACAACTGGCCCCTCTGAAAGAAACACACAGTGGACTGGTTTAGCCATCAGCTCATGACACTCGCATGACAAGCAAACTGACCGTTGCAAAAATACATTTTGCCTGGCTTGATTACTGAGACCACTTGGAGACCAAGGTGAAGGGCCAGGATGAGATAAAGATCTTGGTTCAGTAAAATCTCCAAGATGAAGGGAACATAGGCCTACTACCTCTAAGAAGAGGATGAGGCTGCTGAACTCAGTGGGCATGCTCCGTAGATCCTCAGGAAGTGTCATCTTACGAAGTGGGGATCCGTTCTTCCTCAGTTCAATGATGCCGTCTCTGGCACCTAGTCAACATAACAACAAATGGGAACTTTACCTCTACCTACATGTACATTACCTCAATTACCTCGACTAACCATTGACTCTGTACCGGTACCCCCTGTATATAGCCTCGTAATTGTTATTTTATTGTTATTTTATTGTTTAGTCAATATTTTAGTAAAACTCTTATTTTTCTTTAAACTGCATTGTTGGTTATAGGATTGTAAGTAAGCATTTCACGGTAAGGTGTGACAAACACAATTTGATTTGAACAAAACAAAAACGTTTCTGTCTTTCACTTGACACACTTTTGTTAATTGATCATTGGCAGGGTATACAATACATGGGAGTATGTACAAAAATATAATAATAATAATAATATACAGTTAGAGTATAACTATGACTGAGTGAGTTTACTTACAGCACCACAGTGTTCCATTGAAGAGCTGAATGGACATAAGCCTATCACAGGTCAGTTGAAACTGCTTTTTCACTTTTAGCGTTGAGAGGTCCCACAGAATGACTGTTCCATCGGCACTACAGGAGTATGTCTGACTGGGAGGGAGGGAGGAGAGGGACAGTTGGATTAAAACAAGCACCACGCAGAAGCCTGATTGTGGTTTAACTACTGAAGATTCACAGTGTTAAGTAGTGTCGTTTAAGTACACTACTGTCATCTGCTGGTTGGAAATAGGCATCACAACACTGAACACTCCACATTCTAAGAGCCTTGCAAAATTATACTGGGGTGATGTCAGTCAGAATATTAATAATATAATAATATGCCATTTAGCAGACGCTTTTATCCAAAGCGACTTATAGTCATGTGCGCATAACATTTTTACGTATGGGTGGTCCCGGGGATCGAACCCACTACCCTGGCGTTACAAGCGCCATGCTCTAGCAATTGAGCTACAGAGGACCACAATAACTACTTTCTGCAATAGGTGCATTGGTAATTTGAACAGGCAGTAAGAACACTTTATCCTTCCTTTGCAATAGAATCCTGGGTTAATAGTTTGTGAGGGTGAAGTGACAGTAGCATGAAGAGGACTCCGACTGTGTCCCAAATGGCACCCTATTCCCTATACACATACTGCGCTAATTTTTACCATATGAGCCCTGGTCAAAAGGAGTGACCTATATAGGGAATAAGCTGCACTCTGGGACACAGACATACAGTACTATATGTGTAACATTTTACCTCATCTTGTCACTCTCCTCCAGGGCAAAGTCCATAACCTCATGCCTGTGCTCTGTCAGCTGCTTATTGCAGGACATGCTGCGAGTGTCAATTATGTAAATGATGGAATCCTGGGAGCCAATCCATACTTGACCCTGGTCCAATCCCAGCATGCAGTTCTGTGCACATAATAAAGCCACACACATAATTAGCGTCCCAAATGGAACCAATTCCATATATAGTGCACTACTTTTGACCAAGGCCCATAGGGCTCTCGTCAAAAGAAGCGCACTATATAGGGAATAGGTGCTATTTTTGACGCAGACATACAGTGGCTTGCGAAAGTATTCACCCCCCTTGGCGTTTTTCCTATATTGATGCCTTACAACCTGGAATTATATTTGATTTTTGGGGGGTTTGTATCATTTGATTTACACAACATGCCTACCACTTTGAAGATCCAAAATATTTTTTATTGTGAAACAAACAAGAAATAAAACAAAAAAACAGAAAACTTGAGCGTGCATAACTATTCACCCCCCCAAAGTCAATACTTTGTAGAGCCACCTTTTGCAGCAATTACAGCTGCAAGTCTCTTGGGGTATGTCTCTATAAGCTTGGCACATCTAGCCACTGGGATTTTTGCCCATTCTTCAAGACAAAACTGCTCTAGCTCCTTCAAGTTGGATGGGTTCCGCTGGTGTACAGCAATCTTTAAGTCATACCACAGATTCTCAATTGGATTGAGGTCTGGGCTTTGACTAGGCCATTCCAAAACATTTAAATGTTTCCCATTAAACCACTCGAGTGTTGCTTTAGCAGTATGCTTAGGGTCATTGTCCTGCTGGAAGGTGAACCTCCGTCCCAGTCTCAAATCTCTGGAAGACTGAAACAGGTTTCCCTCAAGAATTTCCCTGTATTTAGCACCATCCATCATTCCTTCAATTCTGACCAGTTTCCCAGTCCCTGCCGATGAAAAACATCGTGGATCGTGTTCTCGGGGTGATGAGAGGTGTTGGGTTTGCGCCAGACATAGCGTTTTCCTTGATGGCCAAAAAGCTCAATTTTAGTCTCATCTGACCAGAGTACCTTCTTCCATATGTTTGGGGAGTCTCCCACATGCCTTTTGGCGAACACCAAACGTGTTTGCTTATTTTTCTCTTTAAGCAATGGCTTTTTTCTGGCCACTCTTCCATAAAGCCCAGCTCTGTGGAGTGTACGGCTTAAAGTGGTCCTATGGACAGATACTCCAATCTCCACTGTGGAGCTTTGCAGCTCCTTCAGGGTTATCTTTGGTCTCTTTGTTGCCTCTCTGATTAATGCCGTCCTTGCCTGGTCCGTGAGTTTTGGTGGGTGGCCCTCTCTTCGCAGGTCTGTTGTGGGGCCATTTTTTTTTAATAATGGATTTAATGGTGTTCCGTGGGATGTTCAAAGTTTCGGATATTTTTTTATAACCCATCCCTGATCTGTACTTCTCCACAACTTTGTCCCTGACCTGTTTGGAGAGCACCTAGCTCTTCATGGTGCCGCTTGCTTGGTGTTGCCCCTTGCTTAGTGGTGTTGCAGACTCTGGGGCCTTTCAGAACAGGTGTATATATACTGAGATCATGTGACAGATCATTTGACACTTAGATTGCACACAGGTGGCCTTTATTTAACTAATTATGTGACTTCTGAAGGTAATTGGTTGCACCAAATGTTATTTAGGGGCTTCATAGCAAAGGGGATGAATACATATGCACACACCACTTTTCCGTTATTTATTTTTGGGAATTTTTTTAAACAAGTTAAATTTTTTTACTTCACCAATTTTGACTATTTTGTGTATGTCCATTACATGAAATCCAAATAAAAATCCATTGAAATTACAGGTTGTAATGCAACAAAATAGAAAAAACACCAAGGGGATGAATACTTTTGCAAGTCATATCCAGGTTTAATCCACTGTCATGTGAATGGTAGGAACTCCTGTTCATGAGACGACAGAAATACATTACAGGACCACCAGGAGGAAACACTATCAACAGAAGAAAAAGAGAGAGAGGGAGAGAGTGGAAATGAGAGATAGAGAGAGGGAGAGAGAGAGAGAGCGAGAGAGAAAGAGAGAAAATTAGAGCTAGAGAGAGGGAGAGAGAGAGAAAGAGAAAATGAGAGCTAGAGAGGGAGAGAGAGAGAGAGAGAAAGAGAGAGAGAAAGAAAGAGAGAAAATGAGAGCTAGAGAGGGAGAGAGAGAGAGAGAGAGAGAGAACGAGTGAAACAGAGCTAGAGAGTGAGAGGGAGAGAGAGAGAACAAGTGAAACAGAGCTAGAGAGTGAGAGAGTGAGAGTGAAACAGAGCTAGAGAGTGAGAGAGAGACAGAGACAGAGAGAAAGAGATCACTGTGTACTTAATTCAATATAACAATTTATTTTCAATGGCTATCTGTAAGCATTTTCACTGAAACAAAGGACATGTTCCAATATCCACACTAGCATATAACCCTTAGAATGCATGGCCAAATCCAATGCTTCTCTCTAAGTGATATGCTACTATAATGTGAATAGTGGAACAAAGCCTAGCAGGGAGGCTTGAGTGATAGGCCAGGGAGAGTGCAGGGGAAATGGTATGTGTACGCTTGCAGACATCATACCAGTTGGGAGGATCCCACTTGAATACAGTTCTGCTGCATGGACCAGCTGGCTGCATCAAACACGACCACCCTCCCACCACTGAGGGCACACCACAGCTTGGGGTTCCCATCTCCGTCTGCCTCCGAGTAACTCAACTGGCCTGGATAGACAGAGAGAGAGACTGGATAGTCAGTCACAGCAGTTCAGCTTTTACCTGTGAATGTCTACATCAACATCAAATACACTAAACCTGTATAATCCATGGGTCAGTCAGTCAATGGATACTCCCACAGGCATATATATATTATGTGTATATGGTATATAGCTCTCCATTACAACATAGAATGTTTTTTTTTCCCCAGTGCCTTTGAGATCATATTACGTTTGTTGACTCATACTGTACAGTATAACATGTTCATAAGCTACCACACCTGACATGTGTGAAGAAATTAGACAAAAGTTCACAATACATGCGCATGTACTCGTCTAAGTAAACAGCTGAGAGTAGACAAACAATTAGACCTGTCTGGGTGCTTTCCACTAGTGTGTATTTGCAGCCAACAAAGATGGCTTCAAAGCTCCTCTGGTTTTCAACTCAGATGTATTACTGATGCTAAATTGGTCAATTTAACACCGTCCACCATCATGTCATCTTGTGACTGTCTCAGATAACACAGAGAGAGAGCATGGCTAGCAATGATGGCCAGTTCACTGGTTGCATAGCAACAATATGGTCAATATGTATCAGCACATCTCTTCATGTACTTAACTGGACATGTTAGGACATGCACTTAACTGGCACGTAAACAACTTCTATCTTACAGGCAGATACATCAGAGTGAAGATTAGAGACTGAAACTATCATAGAAACTCAGCAGTCTGTATCCCCTCACCTGGTGTGTAGAGTAAGACCTGTACAGTCTGGGGAGCTGGGAGGTCAAGCGATGGATTGATCTTGTGTTTCAACATCTCCGATGTCGTCTTCGGAACCATCATAGGAACTGCTCACAGACAGGAGACAAAATGACATCATGGCGTCATATCAGAAGATTATTCACTATCCTGATTACAGAAAATCACAATGAATATCAAACACTATTGTTCTTCAGAGGGTCATACAATGTCATTGATTTAGTTGTATACTTGATCCTTGAACTCCGAGGGCTGGTTTCCTGGAAACTCCTGGACTAAATAAATGTTTCAATGATTCTCCATTGAGTTTGTCTTTTATTCCAGGACTAGGCTAAATCTGTGTCCGGAACCCCCCACCCTTAAAAATACAAATGGTAAAGCTTACAGCTGATTTATATGCAAAAAAAAATCGACAGTGTATCTGGACCATAATGCATACCTTCATGTTTCACTCTGTCAAAGTATGCCAGTTTGGAGGCGGCAAATATGGCCTTCTGGGTCTGAAGGCACCCAACCACAGCATCCATGAGCAGGACGTTAGTCAAAGCCTGCTGCATGTACTGAGGATCCTTAAAGGGAACATGACAACTTATACACACACTGCCAGTACAGAGGATCCTTAAAGGGAACATGACAATATACACACACTTCCTGTACTGAGGATCCTTAAAGGGAACATGACAACTTATACACACACTTCCTGTACTGAGGATCCTTAAAGGGAACATGACAATATACACACACTGCCTGTACTGAGGATCCTTAAAGGGAACATGACAACTTATACACACACTGCACTGTACTGAGGATCCTTAAAGGGAACATGACAATATACACACACTCCTGTACTGAGGATCCTTAAAGGGAACATGACAACTATACACACACTTCCTGTACTGAGGATCCTTAAAGGGAACATGACAACTTATACACACACTGCCTGTACTGAGGATCCTTAAAGGGAACATGACAATATACACACACTTCCTGTACTGAGGATCCTTAAAGGGAACATGACAACTTATACACACACTGCCTGTACTGAGGATCCTTAAAGGGAACATGACAACTTATACACACACTGCCTGTACTGAGGATCCTTAAAGGGAACATGACAATATACACACACTTCCTGTACTGAGGATCCTATAAGAGAGATATATATAACCTACTACACACTACAATGTACAATGAGTAGGGCCAATTAACCAGAGATCACATTAACAGGAGAAAAGCATTAGGACAAAATATCATGTTTTCCACAAGAGCAGAGGGGCGGGACAAGCCTGTACCGTAAGATTAATATCACATTAGGAAGCCTGCAGGAAACCATCAGGCAAGAGGGGCGGGACAAGCCTGTACCGTAAGATTAATATCACGTTAGGAAGCCTGCAGGAAACCATCAGGCCAGAGGGGCGGGACAAGCCTGTACCGTAACATTAATATCACGTTAGGAAGCCTGCAGGAAACCATCAGGCCAGAGGGGCGGGACAAGCATGTACTTTAAGAATAATATCACTTCAGGAAGCTTGCAGAAAACCATCAGGCCAGTGTTTCCCCCAGAGTAAAAAAAAAAGAAGGAAAGTGTGATTTAGGAAACAACAGCTTTTTTAGAAAGGATGCTATAGTTTGAGAAAGGATGCTGTTGTGACCTTAGGAAAGTCTGCTGCCAAAAGTGCCAACCGATCTTTCATAATACGGTAATAAAAGAATGTGACATGTTTTTCAAGATTATGAATAACCACAGGACGCATTCAGGAGGACAAAATGGACTATGCTAATATTTCTACCCACACGTTCCACAAAGTGTTTAACAGAAGTCACTGCACTGCTTAACAGCTTTGCTTCCTTCAGACAGCTGCGCCACCGAAAATATAGCAATTCCACAGTGCTGGTTGTGGTATTTCAAGCTGAGTTAGTTTAATGAATTCAACTTGGTTACATACAGTATACCCTACTGAATGTAGCACCAGTCTTTGAGATCATGTCAAAGTTTATATCCTACCTTGTGGTCGTCTGCCATCCTCCTCCCAGCCCACATCTCTTTGACCATGAGGTTCCACAGGTCACACTCAGACTTCAGGTTGGCCTCAAACACCTCCTTCCTCAGACTGCACTTGATCTTCAGAGACGGGATCCTCAGCAGCAGGAACGGAGCAAAGGAGATTTTCACCTCCTGAAAGGGGGATACCTAGTCAGTTGGACAACTGAATGCATTCAACTGAAATGTGAGGAGAGGAATATCAGATGAGTCATCGTCATCATGGCATATTTTCCTTTGAACAAAGCCAAACATTGAAGGCAATACACTGTAGTCATACCAATGTACCCTTCCGTATTATTAATTACTCAGTGAGTTTCCAAAAGCTTCATAGCACTAAGATCATCTTTCGTCCATTGCCTATACTTGCCAAATATTATTTTAGAACTACAAAAGCTTTCAGAGAACTCATCCCTGAACAGTACTACTACTACTGCCTAAACATAAAGTAACCACACCTCTATGTCTCTGAACTTGGTGATCTCGATAAACCCAGGCCTCCCGTCAGTGAGCAGGAAGAGCCTCTTCTGTGTCATGGCGATCTTGCCCACTCCCTGGTTGGTTTTGACGGAGCAGGACAGCTTGTAGACACACTCGTTGTTGTCCAGGTGCTCTATGACCTCAGCTGGCAGGTGAACGTCCTGGGCCTCCACCTCCGTCTCCTTCCAGAAGGTGTAGAACACACGGAACACCTCTGGGTCAATCTGCTTCTGTTGCCCTGGAAAACAGAGGTAACCTACTCTTAGAAGAAAGATCAACTCCAGTCTTCAAGGAGCCATTCTTTGTATGAGTCGTGGTGTGAATCTAAACAAGGCATGACAAGCCTCAGCAACCTGAAGAGAACATGCTCATCAAACGAACATTAAAACCATGCAAATGCATTCCATCATTTTAGTTTGATGTTCATGCATGTCATACAAGCCAATAGAAACAAGCTACTTCAAACAGCATCCATTGTAAACAGGAACACTGTGTTTTGTCAAAGCAAAGAGCACACGTATACGTCTTTCATAGCTGAAGATGCCCCATGAAACAACAGCCATACATCTCATGTATGATGTCATGGAACGAGCGTTAAATCCAAGCATAGATGAAGATGGAGAGAAAAATCAGAGATGCCACGTCATACGATGGGATGCTGCAGGCAAACTGGACATAGGCCTAGTCTTTTGCTTACCATCCAATGAGGAGTCAATGTAAAATACTGATTTGGAGGGACTCCTCATGGCTGAATCCAAACCCAAGTCACTCTTACAAGATCCTATTAATAAAGTAAGGATAATCAGATGACACACACCGTGTTCCTAGGCAGAGTAGTACTGTATTTCAAACTGTATTAACAGATCAATCACTTGTTTATTATTCTGGGTGATCTTATTGTTATAGTACAACCATACTGTACTGCTCATGTATTTCCATGTCCTGTCAATGAGAGGCCTGACCGCTAAGTCACTTTCCCACAGTGAGAGCCTCAAACAGCCTACGGATGGTAAATCTCAACTTACTCACAGTGAGAGCCTCAAACAGCCTATGGATGGTAAGTCTCAACTTACCCACAGTGAGAGCCTCAAACATCCTATGGATGGTAAATCTCAATTTACCCACAGTGAGAGCCTCAAACATCCTATGGATGGTCAATCTCAATTTACCCACAGTGAGAGCCTCAAAGAGCCTACGGATGGGTAAGTCACTTACCCACAGTGAGAGCCTCAAACATCCTATGGATGGTAAATCTCAATTTACCCACAGTGAGAGCCTCAAACTGTTAGGCCTACTGCTGCTAGGTAGCTCTCTCTCTGCTCTCCCCCTCCCCTCTGTCTGTTCTTGATTGCAGGAGTGAAGTCTGGTGTGCGGGAGTCAGGGTTCCAGCTGCAGCTCATTCACCATAATCACCACAGCCTTAAAGACCCGGTCAAACTTGCCACTCATCGTCAGATCATAGTCAAGACGACCATGTTAGTCTCGCTGTTGACTCAACCTGCTTGTTTTCGCTCTTTGTGTTTTTGGCCTGTTCTAGTTACTTTTCTCCTGTGCCACAGATTATTGGAACCTGACTCCTGCCTCCGCTTCACTCCTGCCACCACCATCCTGCTTTCCACTACCGGACCTCCCTTTTGGACTCACCACGGACACTAGGACGTTACGGTACCACTCCTGCTCAGAACCTGGATCTGTTACCCTCCCTGTAAACCTGGACTTGCTCTTCCCCTATTTTTGGAAACCTGGACAAATTGAACTTTGTAAATAAACCTGTTAAACCTTCTCTGGCTCGGTGTAGTTGTCTGCATCTGGGTTCATATCCAGTTAAATCGTGACACAAACAGCCTACGGATGGTAAATCTCAACTTACCCACAGTGAGAGCCTCAAACAACCTATGGATGGTGGCGACGTCTTTCACAATCCCAGACTCCTGGATGCGCTTCACAAAGTCCTCCTGCAGCATGTGGGTTTTAGGGAGCTGAAACTTCTTCACGTGGTCGTCAGCTTGGACCAGCACCATCTCGTTGTCTGTCTTCACCTTGAAGATGAGCCGCTTGAGCTCTGGCCGCTGGTCTGCCTGGGAGCGCTCGTCCTTCTGCAGCGAGTCCACTAGTGTCTTCACCAGGACGGTGGGGAAGATCTCGATGTCCGTCTTGTAGAGGTTCTGGAAGTCGCTGAGGGCGTCAAGACGCTTGGAACACAGCTTGTTCATGAAGCCGCGCAGGTAAAAGTACCTTGGAAATAGGGAAAGGATTGTATGGACAGTAGTGTGACTTTGCTTATAAATTATTTGTGAAGCACGTATGTAGTGCGTATTCTGACCGGTTGGACACACACTAATGCGCCCTCTCTCTTTCTCGCCCACCAGGTGCCTCTCGTTGCTACCGGCAGGAGCATTGCCTTTGTAAACTCGGCGGTTCGGTCACTTTGAGGACTTTTTTTAGATGTAGTTTGTTTAAATTGTGGCTTGACAAATATAAATGAGTAAACCTAATGTTCTAAACAAAGCAGAAGTACCTGGCCAGGAGAGTGGAGTTCTCAGGAGGAACACAGAAGATGGCCTTCCCCAGTAGTATGATCAGCTCTCCGTAGTATTTCTGGACATAGTGGTGCACCATGGGAGGAGGAAACTCTGGCAGCTCGAAGATCTTCACAGGCTTGGGCGGGATCTTCAGGGCTATGTAGAAAAAGACTGACACTGTAAACATAGGAGCATTAAAGGAAAAATACAAAACAAATTACTTCATATTTATCATCTCCAGCACCACCCCAACATCAACATATGTTAAAATGGCGCGTTTCTATGTTTTATAGTAAAAAAGATAGAGGGGGATAAGTGTTTTCAATGACATCAACCAACAACAAGACAATTAGTAAGCAATTAGTAGGTAATGCCTCCTCATAATTGGTTAATATCACATGACGCTCACCAATGATGTCATTGGAACGCTTAACTCGCTCAATTTTTTTTACTACAAAATATAGAAACATGCCATTTTCACATATGTTGATGTTGGGGTGATGCTGGAGATGATGAATATGAAGTTGAACATTTGTGAAATGTCCCTTTTTAAGATGAATCTTCTTGTTCACAGAAGGCCTAATGACTTGCACTTGACTTTAACCTTCCTGCTTACTCCATCCTAATTCTAGTAACCTTCCAACCAGGATTTCTGGGAATTTGGGGAAAGTTACTGGAAGTTTGTAACCCTCTTAGAAAAAAAAAGGTGCCATCTAGAACCTAAAAGGGTTCTTCGGCTGTCCCCATAGGATAAGAGGACCCTTTGAAGAACCATTTTTGGTTCCAGGTAGAACGCTTTTGGGTTCCATGTACAACCCTTTCCACAGAGAGTTCTATATGGAACCCAAAAGGGTTCTAACTAGAACCAAAAAGGGTTCTACCTGGAACCAAAAAGGGTTCTCCTATGGGGACAGCCCAAAGAACCCTTTTGGAACCCTTTTTTCTAAGAGTGTACTCACCACTCTCAGGGATGATGATCTTCTTGAGGGAGGTATGTCTGAGGAGGCGCTCCTCTCCCAGGTTGGGGAGGCTCATCCCCAGCCTCTTGTTCAGATGGTTCTCTGGGCCACTGCTATACTTCCTGGCCATCTCCTGCATGGTGGGCCTCCTGGGGATGTCTATCATCGCCTTCATTCTGACATGGGACACATATAATACAGGACTGTATACCATACAGACCCTAAATAACATACAGGACCCCAAATACCATACAGACCCTAAATACCATACAGGACTGTATACCATACAGACCCTAAATACCATACAGACCCTAAATACCATACAGGACTGTATACCATACAGACCCTAAATACCATACAGGACTGTATACTATACCGACCCTAAATAGCATACAGGACTGTATACCATACAGTACCCTAAATACCATACAGTACCCTAAATACCATACAGTACCCTAAATACCATACAGGACTGTATACCATACAGACCCTAAATACCATACAGTACCCTAAATACCATACAGTACCCTAAATACCATACAGGACCCTAAATACCATACAGACCCTAAATACCATACAGACCCTAAATACCATACAGACCCTAAATACCATACAGACCCTAAATACCATACAGACCCTAAATACCATACAGACCCTAAATACCATACAGGACTGTATACCATACAGACCCTAAATACCATACAGGACTGTATACCATACAGACCCTAAATACCATACAGTACCCTAAATACCATACAGACCCTAAATACCATACAGGACCCTAAATACCATACAAGACCCTAAATGCCATACAAGACCCTAAACCTGCCATAGATTTAGCATGTTTGCAGTGGTGTGTTACGTAACAGAATTCAATAATTTCCCAAATCGCTCCTCCAGTATCCCTAGCCAGTTTCTTCCACTTGATCTATTCCAGCACTAGCACACCTGATTCAACTGGTCAACTAATCATCAAGCCTAACTGGTCAACTAATCATCAAGCCTAACTGGTCAACTAATCATCAAGCCTAACTGGTCAACTAATCATCAAGCCTAACTGGTCAACTAATCATCCAGCCTAACTGGTCAACTAATCATCCAGCCTAACTGGTCAACTAATCATCAAGCCTAACTGGTCAACTAATCATCCAGCCTAACTGGTCAACTAATCATCAAGCCTAACTGGTCAACTAATCATCCAGCCTAACTGGTCAACTAATCATCCAGCCTAACTGGTCAACTAATCATCCAGCCTAACTGGTCAACTAATCATCAAGCCTAACTGGTCAACTAATCATCCAGCCTAACTGGTCAACTAATCATCAAGCCTAACTGGTCAACTAATCATCAAGCCTAACTGGTCAACTAATCATCAAGCCTAACTGGTCAACTAATCATCGAAGCTCTCAAACACTGTAAATGGATGGGGGTTCTCGAAGAGAGGTTTGAGAAAACCCCCTCCGCTGTTCATTCAAATATTCAACAACGATACAACATCCAACAGACTGGATAACTGGATCAGACTTGTGGAGAAACTCTTCCTTTGATGTTAACAAAGCATGTTTGCAGCGGTGTGTTCTATAAAATAATTCCGTGACTGAATAATTGGACTGAATTCCATAACATGTCCAGGCAGTTCCCAGTGGTGCCATAAGTCAGTATTCATTCTAACCATCACTGTACCCATCAGGGAGAAAAGTGATTTGGAGGGTAGGGGAAGGGATATGCAGGAATGGGATATTGTAAGTGAGAGCTTACTTCTGTGTCTCTGAGCGAGTGTTGACTTCCATGCGTGTGAAAGCATCCATCTTCCTATTGAGGCGGTCCTTCAGGAATGAATGAAAGATGTGTGTCTCCAAGACCTACACGGACACACAGGTATAAATTGACCGTAGGAATCAACCGTACTCTTTATAGCGATAGTGATCAACATGTACCTTTTTATAAAAGGGTTGGTCAGCTAGCTCTCTGGTCTTCAGGAACTCTTCACTGTTAAACACTCTGTGTTCATAGTTCAGGTGACCACTGACATCCCTGATGAAAGGCGGAAATGCAACGGACCATTAATACACAGGCTACATTAGTGCCTTTAAAGACTAGGAAATATAACATCTTCGTACACCTCACCGGGGTGACTTCCTCCTTATAGAAAACAACACCAACAAAATCTCACATATGCCACTATTGGCTCTTCCCAGTGTGGGCATTCCTCAAGGGAGAGCAGTCTTGGCAGATTTGAATTCACTTGTTGATGTCTGTAAGCAGGAAGTCCACCCGCTGTGTATGATGATGTCATACTTTAAGCACCTCAGAAAAAGAGTCTGAACAGTACGACTGACCTGAACATGTTGACAATTATCTCCAAGGTAACCTTCTGTATTTCCCAGTTCAGGTTCTGCTGCCATTTTCTTCTCAGCATGCGCATCTCGTTAATGTCTGCGCCGGCCCCTTGGTGACACACCTCCAGATCATATTGTAGCTGGAGGCCTTTCCTCCTGTAGAGCAGCAGGAGGAGAAAACTGTTGTTCACTCACTGACACAAAAAAACTATGTTATATAAACATGACTGTTCGTGCCAGAATGTGAGTGATAACTGATGTGATATTCTACCTCTCAATATCCTCATTCTGTGTTATTGAGACAATGGATGTCTCATTTCAGTTGTAGTGAGCTTCAGCACAGAACAGAGCACATAGTCTGCATTGTCTATGTATTCCTCCTGTTATAATGTTTTTCTCTCTGCATTGTTGGGAAGGGCCCGCAAGTAAGCATTTCACTGTTAGTCGACACTTGTTCTTTACGAAGCATGTCACAAATAAAATTGTATTTGATTCTCAAATCGCACCCTATTCCCTATATAGTGCACTACTTTTTACCAGGGCCCATAAGACTCTGGTCAAAAGTAGTACACTATTCCCTAGTAGTTCACTATATATAGAATAGGGTGCCATTTGGAATGTGTGTCCTACCGCTTGGTAAAACACTCTGCTGAAGCGAAGGGGACATCTGGTAGGTCGACAGTCTCTGAGCAGGAGGAAGACACTGTTCCATCATCGATATTAATCAAGATCAGGTCGTCTGTTTCCTGTCATAGAGAATAGAAGAGAGTTCCAAAAACATTCAAAAGTCAAAGCTTTCTTTCTCCAACTGCGATGACATTTCAACTGTTTGGAAACGGAACAAGACACTAAAACCAAGCAGTAGGTCTAAACACTGTATATGGACAGATGGACACTTGTCGCAACGACATCATGAAAATCATATTGTTGTCCGACATCAAATAACATACCAAAGACATAACCATGGTTATATAAAGGATGTACCAAGGTTGTAATAAAGAAACTACTACTACTAATACAAAGCCTCCTACCGCAGCGACCTCCTCAAAGTGGTTGAGGTGGCAGCCCATGAGGAAGGCGGTGGGGGCCATGACGAAGTCCAGCATCTGGCCTGAGAGGATGGGCACGTAGGGGTGCTGCCAGTGGAGGGGGTGGATGTAGACCATGAAACACTCTGCCACCAGGGTGAGGCGGGCCCAGTCAGCTGAGAAGAACACTACCCTCTGCTCCATCAGGATACCAGTGATGATCTGGACAAACCAACACAGGGCCAGGGGTCAATACAACCAGAGAGGAGAGGAGAGGAGAGGAGAGGAGAGGAGAGGAGAGGAGAGGAGAGGAGAGGAGAGGAGAGGAGAGGAGAGCAGAACTATATTGTCCATTGAAACAGACATTTGTGTTGCCAGACTAGGACGAAGTTAAAACACCACTCCGAACACTTCAGTTGAATGGCTCGTTGTAGAAAATGCTGTTACCTGTCCTCACCTGTAAAATCTGTTTGGACCTAAAGCACAGGAAGGGCAGATGGAGGTCCAGGTCTACAACGGGGTGATCTTTATCCTCTCTGGAAGGTAGTACGATCATCAGGGGTCTCAGGTTGAACACCTGGGCACAGTCAGGGGTGAATACATCATCAACATCACTACACAGTCAGGTAGTAGTAGTAGTAGAGTGGTTTGTATTTTTGGGTCATTTTTATTCAGACCGTTGGATGGAGAGAGGGGGAGACGTGAGGGACCGAGGAGGAATCAAACCCTAACAATGCATTGTCCATGTAGAGTGACTGGTGTTAAAATACAACCAACCACTGGTACTTCAGTTAGCCTAGCAGTTTGGATAGATATAAAGCAGCTCACCACATGTAGTTGTCCAGGGGGTGGAATGGGCACCAGAGCCAGTTTGGCTGCAAATTCCTTCACCCTCTCTTCAGACAACCTGCATGTTCTAAGCTGTACCAGCAAACTACGGAAGTGTACAGAAGAGAATGAAAGATTTAAGAAATGACAATACACAGATACGGCTGTACTGAAGATGTATTGACCCTTACCAAGACAGACAGTCCTTGAGAGCATTGTAGTAAGGATGCTTGGATATGACACAGATGGCATAAGCAATGTAGTGCTTAGTGGTCTTGGTGGATGACCAGTGTCCATTCTGATAGAACATTGACCCTTCCTATGAGGACAGAAGTGACAAATCAACTGTCTGAGCATTGAGTATTTCGCAGGAAGAAGCGTTATAGCGAAAGCGTTTAACACAGTGTTTTGTTTTGCACAGCTTTATAATGAAAATGATCATATGTTTATGAAGGAGAAAAAAAAGGGAAGTCTCACACCTGAAATGGTCTATAACACTGAACAACCACTCCATGGGTTTGGTTACCGAACACATCCGTGAAGACTAGAAAGTGAAAGCGCTCTTCTTTTGGTTCATTTGTTACTTGAAGCCCCCCTGATTTCAGAAAAGAAGGATTATTTGTATCTCTCTATTGTTAGACAGTGCATTGGGCAATGTCTTCGAGCTAATGTTTTAATGCAATGACATTGTAAATAGGGATGTCTGTCAGCCTTCATTTTGGTATGGCGTTTACCTCAAGTCAAGTCAAAACAAGTCAAGTCATCTTTATAATCCCAACACTGACAAATTTAACTGGCTATCAGCTTCACGATATACTCTACCTGGAAAGCAGAGTTGGGGCAGGGCCATGAGGTCGATGTCCTTGGGGACGCTGACATCCTCCGTTATAGTGGCCCCCTCACTGCTCCCTGCCCCTCCAGTGCCACTAGGAGCCACCACTGGCCTCTCCTTCTTCTTGATAAAGGACCGTCTGCACTGGACTCGACTGAAGGTTTTGGGGCCACCAGACTCATCGGCATTCTCTTTGGTCACAAACGGAGGCACGTGGACTTGCAAGACCTCTGGGTCTAAAAAAGGGATGTCTGTTGTCCTGTTGCCCTGCTGTAAAGACTAAACAGAACATTCCATGTTAACCTCCATTTTACAGACAGGGCACATAGGGCTTTTTGATTCAATATTTATTCAACAACAACCTAGCCTAATAAGCTTTGTATAAAAAATTGCATTTGCTGATTGGCATTACCTGGTAGACATCCTTGAGTTTATCCCCAGAGGCTCCGACGACAACACATGCTTCCAGTAACCCTGAGGGAAGATGGTCTGCCATCAGAACCTGACTTTCCTCCTCTGTACCTCAGGCTCACAATGGTGGAATCACATCCAAGCATGGGATCTGTGCTTTGGAGGAGCAAGCGAGAGAGAGAGAGAGAGAGAGAGAGAGAGATATTGTTCTTTAGAAACAGGAGTCACACTCCTTGGCTTGTTCATTTGGGCAAGTTGTTTTACCCTTGATCACAGCAGCTGGATAACAAGAAAAAGAACACATGACATCCTGCTTATTATATCACCTTTTAATAGATATTCCCAACAACAACAACATCAAGCCGAGAGGCCCGCAGGCTTGAAACACAGCTCACCTGATCACTACTAGGCCAATAAACCAAATGCTCTGAGAAACCATAAAAAATGTGTCATCAAAAGCAACCATGGAATCACCTCGCAAACAACAAGGCAGAGTTGATGGACATACAGCTGTAGTCATGTAAAGTACAAGCTCTTCTCCTCTGTAAAGGCAGCCATCTCAGGAGATAAAAGATAAACCAACTTTAATTGCATTTCCCTGCTTGAGGGGCAGTTCTGGGCAAATTGGATTCATGTGTGCTGAAGACGGAGATACCCTTTAATAGGTCACTGAGAAAACTCTACAGAGGAGTGGCACAGTTCACTTTATGATGGGTGGATGGCCTAGTGCTACTGTATTGAAAATAAGTGCCTTTTGAGATTTCAATTTTTTTTTAAATAAAAAAACTCAGTAACTGCACTCATATCTCTTTGGCATCTACAATAGACCTGTGATTTTCTAATGGGCTGTTTGAAAGGCGACCAGTCACCAGTTCCTGCATTCCTTTGCATAGGAGAACAACAAGTGTTCATATGATACACATGAATCACGTCATGGCTCCCGAGTGGTGCAGCGTTCTAAGGCACTGCATCTCAGTGCTAGAGGCCTCACTACAGACCCTGGTTCGATTCCAGGCTGTATCACAATCCGGCCGTGATTGGGAGACCGGGGTAGGCCATCATTGTAAATAAGGATTTGATCTTAACTGACTTGCATAGTAAAGTAATGGTTAAATAAAAAAATTATAGCTGCAGAACTAAAACCATGACCACGCTCTGACATACATTTAAGTCATTTAGCAGACGCTCTTATCCAGAGCGATTTACAGGAGCAATTAGGGTTAAGTGTCTTGCTCAAGGACACATCGACAGATTTTTCACCTAGTCGGCTCGGGGATTAGAACCAGCGACCTTTCGGTTACTGGCACAACGCTCTTAACCACTAAACTACCTGCCGCCCCATACAATGTATTTCGTTTCCATTGATGAATACCTGAAAGAGCCAAGACAACTTTATTGGCCAAGAGCATGTGATGATCAAATTCCATGTTGCGTGTCAATCACACACAGGTAGCTACTGTGCATACATCACCGTCAAAGCATATTAATGTTTTCGTGAAAATGAAAATGCTTAACTTCTATCAGAACGTAGCTCAGCTACATAAAAAAAAGTCTAAACAGAAAGTTAGATTTATTTCAAATGCAAAGTAATGATCTTCACCAACCTGTTGGTCCATCGGTAATCAAAGATCAAGGGCCAAAGTTACTGACATTCGTCTGAATGAATTTGTAGCCACAGAAAGCGACAGTCAAAACACCTCTGTAAACACTGCAGTTGAATGGCTCTTCCAAGGAAATGCTGTTATCTGTCTTACTACGATTGACAGTGTGCTGCTTCCTGCTTTCAGAAAGGATACATAATCATGCGCAATGAGGAAACAGTTTGGAAAAAAGGCAGTCGCTCCTACTTTTGTAAGGAATTCAAAACCTAATGCATTCTAATTTGCTGTCGTAGAAGTGAAGACGCTGCGTTGCCTACTTAACAAAACGGGTATATTAAATTATGTCAGAAGACTCATTCGGTTTCTCTATCGACTTTGTTGTTATAGTGCCATCTAGTGAGCAATTTGTAACAATTCAACAACACTCAATGTAAATTGAGTGTTACCAAAGTTGCAATAATAGTATAAAGATTCTGCTTTTTCAAAGGCAACCACTGCTGGTTATTTTAAATCAATTTGCACACGTTTGGGGAGGGACAGCATTTTGATATTTAAAGGTGCATTCATTACCTATCCTCCATTTGTACATAAATACCTTGTTAATTAACAGTGTTAGGGTTAGCAGGTTAGTTGTTAACAAGGTTAGCAGGTTAGTTGTTAACAGGGTTAGCAGGTTAGTTGTTAACATGGTTAGCAGGTTAGTTGTTAACAGGGTTAGCAGGTTAGTTGTTAACAGGGTTAGCAGGTTAGTTGTTAACAAGGTTAGAAGGTTAGTTGTTAACAGGGTTAGCAGGTTAGTTGTTAACAGGGTTAGCAGGTTAGTTGTTAACAAGGTTAGCAGGTTAGTTGTTAACAGGGTTAGCAGGTTAGTTAACAGGGTCAGCAGGTTAGTTGTTAACAAGGTTAGCAGGTTAGTTGTTAACAGGGTGAGCAGGTTAGTTGTTAACATGGTTAGCAGGTTAGTTGTTAACAAGGTTAGCAGGTTAGATGTTAACAGGGTTAGCGGGTTAGTTGTTAACAGGGTCAGCAGGTTAGTTGTTAACATGGTTAGCAGGTTAGTTGTTAACAAGGTCAGCAGGTTAGTTGTTAACAGGGTCAGCAGGTTAGTTGTTAACAAGGTTAGAAGGTTAGTTGTTAACAGGGTTAGCAGGTTAGTTGTTAACAGGGTTAGCAGGTTAGTTGTTAACAAGGTTAGCAGGTTAGTTGTTAACAAGGTTAGCAGGTTAGTTGTTAACAGGGTTAGCAGGTTAGTTAACAGGGTCAGCAGGTTAGTTGTTAACAAGGTTAGCAGGTTAGTTGTTAACAGGGTGAGCAGGTTAGTTGTTAACATGGTTAGCAGGTTAGTTGTTAACAAGGTTAGCAGGTTAGATGTTAACAGGGTTAGCAGGTTAGTTGTTAACAGGGTCAGCAGGTTAGTTGTTAACATGGTTAGCAGGTTAGTTGTTAACAAGGTTAGCAGGTTAGTTGTTAACAGGGTTAGCAGGTTAGTTGTTAACATGGTTAGCAGGTTAGTTGTTAACAGGGTTAGCAGGTTAGTTGTTAACATGGTTAGCAGGTTAGTTGTTAACAGGGTTAGCAGGTTAGTTGTTAACAAGGTTAGCAGGTTAGTTGTTAACACGTTTAGCAGGTTAGTTGTTAACAGGGTTAGCAGGTTAGTTGTTAACAGGGTTAGCAGGTTAGTTGTTAACAAGGTTAGCAGGTTAGTTGTTAACAGGGTCAGCAGGTTAGTTGTTAACATGGTTAGCAGGTTAGTTGTTAACAGGGTTAGCAGGTTAGTTGTTAACAGGGTTAGCAAGTTAGTTGTTAACAAGGTTAGCAGGTTAGTTGTTAACAGGGTCAGCAGGTTAGTTGTTAACATGGTTAGCAGGTTAGTTGTTAACAAGGTTAGCAGGTTAGTTGTTAACAGGGTTAGCAGGTTAGTTGTTAACATGGTTAGCAGGTTAGTTGTTAACAGGGTTAGCAGGTTAGTTGTTAACAGGGTTAGCAGGTTAGTTGTTAACATGGTTAGCAGGTTAGTCGTTAACAGGGTTAGCAGGTTAGTTGTTAACATGGTTAGCAGGTTAGTTGTTAACAGGGTTAGCAGGTGAGTTATCAGGGTTAGCAGGTTAGTAGTTAACAGGGTTAGCAGGTTAGTTGTTAACAGGGTTAGCAGGTGAGTTATCAGGGTTAGGGTTAGCAGGTTAGTTGTTAACAGGGTAAAACAAGTCTGTACAGTTCAACAGCAGAAGGGAATATAACATTTCCACTTGGACAAAATCATTGCTCGACTTTGAAATCAAAATGTTGAGATAATTTATATTATAAAGATTAATACTTGAGTGTGACCAATTTGATTCCCAAACTATTCACAACCAGTTAGACATTTATATTTTCCCCATTACAACCAAACCTCTCAATTTCCAGCTGTTGACAAGTAAAATGTACCAAAAAGATACAATGTTCCTTTTCCACTTTCTAGAGCCAGATGTTCCTGCTGGCTGTGATGATGGATCATCTCTTATTGGATAATTTCAGGTAGGTCTGTCCCCCGTTTCCGCCCCTTTACTTCCATTTGATTCCTAGTGAATACGACCATGGCTACCTACCACCCCACGTAGATGGAACAACTCCTCAACCCAACACTCTGGGCCTAGGAATACCTTCTAGGCTCACACAGCTCGTTAGATGTACATGCCCCGTAGGACTCTAGTCAAAAGTAGTGCACTTCATAGGGAATAGGGTGACATTTGGGACACATACCGTTAATCTCTATATAGATTTCTCAACAGATTTGCGTTAATGTTCTGCCAGATAAATAATGACACACACTGTCACGTCTTAAAGTTTATTGTGCAGCTTTTGCAGTTGTTAAACATAAAAACTTTTTTTGTACGTTACCCTGTGGAGCAGATGGTTCAGAACAACAGAGGGATAGTTACTGCAGCACAGTACAGTATAGGGTTTCTTCAATGCTGGATGGGCCCAAAGGCATCTTATGGTCATAGACCATTTTTAAGTACTAGTTGTAGTATGAAATCTAGTATCCTTCCATGCAGCATACTATAATGGATTATTACAAAATTATCCCTTTTAAAACATTCATGTGTTAGCATGTAAGCATCATGACTTCAGCATTTTATTATCTTAAGGCTGAAAATGTTTATCCAACTCTCTAATGTAAACAGTAGGCTATAGGCCACTCAACCCAGTCAATGGCAAATATGAGCTACAAGAAGTTCTGAATAGTTCTTTGGACCTTTGGTGAAACCTGAACATCATATTGTCTGATGCAGCATTTCTGTGCTGTATAATACCCCTGAGTGTTTTCATGATATACATGTCAATAGACAGTAGAAATAGAGTTAGTGGAGGGTGTTTATATAATAGGGAATGTAACCGAATGACCCTGAACTGGATCCTCTGTGGCTGCAGCATCTTTAGTGAGGGCACAGTAAGAGAGAGAGACTCCTATAGCATTCTGTCTGTGGGGAAACTACGTTTCGGTCACTCCAACCATTTTGTACAATCACAAAATAAAATCAACAAAACATGTTTTCAATGTAGAAATGCAGTGAAAATATTCACATGTGCACTCTAGCATTAGATCCTATGTGTATGACTAAAAAAGTCATACACATTAGATCCTATGTGTATGACTAAAAAAGAGAGTCCAGCATTAGATCCTATGTGTATGACTAAAAAAGAGAGTCCAGCATTAGATCCTGTGTATGACTAAAAAAAGAGAGTCCAGCATTAGATCCTGTCTATGTGTATGACTAAAAAAGAGCGTCCAGCATTAGATCCTATGTGTATGACTAAAAAAAAGAGCGTGTACAGCATTAGATCCTATGTGTATGACTAAAAAAAGAGAGTCCAGCATTAGATCATGTCTATGTGTATGACTAAAAAAGAGAGTCCAGCATTAGATCCTGTGTATGACTAAAAAAAGAGAGTCCAGCATTAGATCCTGTGTATGACTAAAAAAGAGAGTCCAGCATTAGATCCTGTGTATGACAAAAAAAAGAGTCCAGCATTAGATCCTATGTGTATGACTAAAAAAGAGAGTCCAGCATTAGATCCTATGTGTATGACTAAAAAAGAGAGTCCAGCATTAGATCCTGTGTATGACTAAAAAAGAGAGTCCAGCATTAGATCCTGTGTATGACAAAAAAAAGAGTCCAGCATTAGATCCTATGTGTATGACTAAAAAAGAGAGTCCAGCATTAGATCCTATGTATATGACTAAAAAAGAGAGTCCAGCATTAGATCCTATGTGTATGACTAAAAAAGAGAGTCCAGCATTAGATCCTATGTGTATGACTAAAAAAGAGAGTCCAGCATTAGATCCTATGTGTATGACTAAAAAAGAGAGTCCAGCATTAGATCCTATGTGTATGAGGTGGATAGTCTGATATATGACTGTAAGTCGCTTTGGATAAAAGCGTCTGCTAAATGGCATATTATTTTATATTTATTATTATATTGCTTCCTGCAGGCCTTTCAACAGTGAATGATACCCAAATGGCACCCTATTCCCTATTTAGTGCACTACATTTGACCAGAGCCTTATGGACCCAGGTCAAAAGTAGTGCACTATAAAGGGAGTAGGGTGCTATTTGGGACGCAACCAGTGAAACCACAAACTCTAGAACCCCATGAGGAGGAGAAAAACACACAGCCTCTGTACAACAGCCATATGTCAAGAATTGCACAACAATGTGTTCAATGGAACAGTCCATACCACCGGCACTCGTGCGACTAGTGAGTGTTAAGGTTTGTTCACAGTCTTTCTCCACTAGATATCTGTGCAGAGGAAAGAAACGAGACAGAGAGGAAGCCACTTTATGACTATGGAGATGCCACCAGTATTTTGTCCGTGCCTCTCTTCTTCTTTGTTAAATAGTGGACTCGTGGTTTGCCGTGCTGCTGCTGCCCTTGGGCGTAGTTTTGAGCAGGACTACTGCCTCCTGTATACTGCTACCGCTGGGGCCTGGTTCTGGGGCCACCAGGGCCTGAGCCCCCTCCTCTCCATAACCCTCCTGGTCCTGCGTAGTGGTGGGAGTGGAGGAGTCTGGGTAGATGACCAGGAAGGTGGCGGTGAGGAAGCCAAGGAAGGAGCCTCCAGAGGCCATCATTGGGATGACCCGCACGCTGTCCACCGCGTCCACAACCGCGCTCAGCGCAGACGCAACCAGGATCTGGGCAATGTACACCTGGCACGACAGTATGGCACAGTCGATGCCGAAGCCTCGTCGAGAGTTCCCCGGACTGTGGTGGATGTACTGGGGGAAAGATAGGAGGCAAAAAGATGTTACCTTTTTTACTAATCTCTCACGTCAGCTACAGTACATGATAGGCTATTACCTAGTAGGAAACTCAATTATCATCAACTTGGCCTATAATGAGCAACATCATATCCATATAAAGTAGTTTGTATTAAGAATATGACCAGTTTGAAAGTGTACCGACATCCTTGTTCTCATGATACTGGCCCAACATAATGTACTAACTAGGTCTGTTAAGATCTATAGTGAACCATAGTCATCTACACTGAGTGTACAAAACATTATGAACAGCTGCTCTTTCCATGACAGACTGACCAGGTGAAAGCTATGAGCTTATTGATGTCACCTGTTAAATCCACTTCAATCAGTGTAGATGAAGGGGAGGAGACAGGTTAAAAAATGATTTCTAAGCCTTGAGACAATTGAGACATGGATTGTGTATGTGTGACATTCAGAGGGTGAATGGGCAAGACAAAATATTTAAAGTGCCTTTGAACGGGGTATGGTAGTAGGTGCCAGGCGCACCGGTTTGTGTCAAGAACTGCAACGCTGCTGGGTTTTTCAAGCTCAACAGTTTCCTGTGTGTATCAAGAATGGTCCACCACCCAAAGGACATCCAGCCAACTTGACAACTGTGGGAAGCATTAGAGACAACATGGGCCAGCATCCCTGTGGAATGCTTTCGACACCTTGTAGAGTCCATGCCCCAACGAAATGAGGCTGTTCTGAGGTGTTCCTAATGTTTGGTATACTCAGTGTATAGTCTCATTTAACCCTACAAGACATGTGGACATGTAGTTCTATGTTAACATTTAATAGAAAGGACGTGAGACAGAAATCACGTAACGGCTCTGCTACACTACAGCCATCGGACGTTTGGCATTGCCTTCAGCCATTAGCCATTGAAGGAATGTATCAAGAATGGTCCCCCACCCAAAGGACATCCAGACAATTTGACAACTGTGGGAAACATTGGAGCCAGCATCCCTGAGGAATACTTGATACCTTGCGGAGTCCATGCTCTGACAAATTGAGGCTGTTCTGAGGGCAAAAGGGGGGGTGCAACTCAATATTAGGAAGGCGTTCCTAATGTTTTGTACACTCAGTGTATAGTGATCTATAGTGAACCATAGTGATCCTCACCTGCTTGTTCTCGTGGTATTGGCCCAGCAGAGCGTAGGGGCAGTAGGAGATACTCATGGAGATGATGCCCATGGTACTGATCATCACCATGGCAACGTAGACGTTAGGGAAGATCGCCATGACTGCGGTTCCCAGGGAGAAGCCCAGAGTACCCAGGATGTAGATGACCTTAATGCTCAGGTCGTAGTTGTCCAGGTACTTCTGGAGCACAGCTGTCAACAAATACAACATACGCAACATTATTAAGTTGGCACAAATGAGTTGCATTAAGTAGCATGTACTTTGTACTTCCTACCCACTTTACTGCTTGTGAGTCAAGTCCTCACTCTTTGGTATACATACTATGCTGTACATGTGGCTGTTCATGTTGCTGTTCATTCTGTACACGTTGCTGTTCATGTTGCTGTCCGTACTGTACACGTTGCTGTCCATACTGTACACGTTGCTGTCCATACTGTACATGTTGCTGTCCGTACTGTTTCATGTTGCTGTCCGTACTGTACACGTTGCTGTTCATGTTGCTGTCCGTACTGTACACGTTGCTGTTCATGTTGCTGTCCGTACTGTTTCATGTTGCTGTCCGTACTGTACACGTTGCTGTTTCATGTTGCTGTCCGTACTTTTCATGTTGGTGTCCGTACTTTTAATGTTGCTGTCCGTACTTTTCATGTTGCTGTACACGTTGCTGTTCGTACTGTACACGTTGCTGTCCATACTGTACACATTGCTGTTCATACTGTACATGTTGCTGTTCACATTGCTGTACATGTTGCTGTTCACATTGCTGTACATGTTGCTGTTCACATTGCTGTACATGTTGCTGTAATGTGTTTATTGCATGTTGCTGTCCATACTGTACATGTTGCTGTCCATACTGTACATGTTGCTGTTCACATTGCTGTTCATACTGTACATGTTGCTGTAATGTGTTTATTGCATGTTGCTGTCCATACTGTACGTGTTGCTGTCCATACTGTACATGCTGCTGTTCACATTGCTGTTCATACTGTACATGTTGCTGTAATGTGGTTATTGCATGTTGCTGTCCATGTTGCTGTTCATACTGTACATGTTGCTGTTCACGTTGCTGTACATACTGCTGTAATGTGTTTATTGCATGTTGCTGTCCATACTGTACATGTTGCTATTCATACTGTACATGTTGCTGTTCACGTTGCTGTACATACTGTACGTTGCTGTCCGTACTGTACGTTGCTGTCCATACTGTACGTTGCTGTCCGTACTGTCCATGTTGCTGTTCGTACTGTACGTTGCTGTCCATGTTGCTGTTCGTACTGTCCATGTTGCTGTTCATACTGTCCATGTTGCTGTTCATACTGTCCATGTTGCTGTTCATACTGTCCATGTTGCTGTTCACATTGCTGTTCACGTTGCTGTACATACTGTGCATGTTGCTGTAATGTGTTTATTGCACATTGCTGTCCATACTGTACACGTTGCTGTCCATACTGTACACATTGCTGTCCATACTGTACACATTGCTGTCCATACTGTACATGTTGCCTTAATGTGTTTATTGCATGTTGCTGTCCATACTGTACGTGTTGCTGTTCATACTGTACATGTTGCTGTCACTTTGCGTCTTGTACGTTGCTTAATGTGTTTATTTGCTGTTGCGGTCATACGTAATGTTGTTTTTTGACGTACTGTTTTGGGGTTCAACTTACATTTGCTTAATGTTTTATTGCATGTTGCTTTCCCATACTGTACTGTTCTTTTTACTGTACATTTTTCTGTAAATTTTTTTTCATGTTGCTGTTCATACTGCGTTGCTTCATACGAAAACAGTTGCTGACTGTTTTAAAATTTTTTTTTGCGTTGCTGTCCATATTAAAACTGTTCCCTGTTATTGTACATGTTGCTTTCACGTTGCCTGTACATGTTGCTGTATGTTTTTTCTGTTCTGTTCATACTGTACATTTTTCTGTTTTCTGTACATTGCTTTTTCCTATGTACATGTTTCTTTCATACGAACTTTTCTTTACATACGTACATTTTGCTGTAATGTTTTTTTATTGCATTTGCTGCCCCCTCGGGGGGGTCAGTTTCTTCAAACTGTACATGTTGCTGTTCACGTTGCTGTACATGTTGCTGTAATGTGTTTATTGCATGTTGCTGTCCATACTGTACATGTTGCTGTTTATACTGTACATGTTGCTGTAATGTGTTTATTGCATGTTGCTGTTCATACTGTACATGTTGCTGTTCATACTGTACATGTTGCTGTAATGTGTTTATTGCATGTTGCTGTTCATACTGTACATGTTGCTGTTCATACTGTACATGTTGCTGTAATGTGTTTATTGCATGTTGCTGTTCATACTGTACATGTTGCTGTTCATACTGTACATGTTGCTGTTCATACTGTACATGTTGCTGTTCACGTTGCTGTTCACGTTGCTGTACATACTGTGCATGTTGCTGTAATTGTTTATTGCACGTTGCTGTCCAGAATGTACACCTTGCTGTCCATACTGTACACGTTGCTGTTCATACTGTACACGTTGCCTTAATGTGTTTATTGCATGTGGCTGTCCATACTGTACATGTGGCTGTCCATGTTGCTGTCCATACTGTACACGTGGCTGTCCATACTGTGTATTTCCTGTGTATTTCTCTAAAGAGTAGGACCTACCTGAGCAGACTGCAGCGGTAGCAGCATAGACAACCAGTCCCCAGCAGCCCATCTGAACCCCTTTATGGTAGTTCTGCAGTCCAGTGGAGTTAGCAGGAGCCTAGATGGAGAAAATAGGACATACAGAAGTCCACAAACTGAAAGAAATGTGTGGCGCAAAATTCTGCATATTCTCAGAATTGTAATGTTGTACCGTTAAAAACAATACATTGGCATTTAAAAGAACTTGAGCCCTTGTCAGTAGGGTTCCCTGTCCTGCAGAGAGGAAACAGAGACCTAGTGATTCTCAGAGGGTTCCCTGTCCTGCAGAGAGGAGACAGAGACCTAGTGATTCTCAGAGGGTTCCCTGTCCTGCAGAGAGGAGACAGAGACATAGTGATTCTCAGAGGGTTCCCTGTCCTGCAGAGAGGAAACAGAGAATATAAAAGAGAAGTAGTAATAGAAAAGGAAGGAAAACAGGAACAGTAGATTGGGTAGAAGAAAGATGGACAAATAAAGGAAGAGTTTGCTAATTCTCTTACTGAAATGAACTACAAACTATAATGAACTACAATAAACAATGAACTACAATGGGGGACTGGACAGGTTCTTACTGTGGGTTTTCCAGCATATATGACCTGTCCCATGAAGTCTGTGTAGAAGACGGCCTCAGCGATGATAGAGAACCAGGTGAGGAGATGACAGACGCAGAGCCTCAGCAGCTGGGGGGGCATCTTCAGCATGGACAGCCACAGCAGCTTGACCGTGGTACCCCCCTCGGCCCCGTCGTCGCTCTCAGAGTCACCGCTGGACAGCGTGCTGCTGCTCTGCTGGAGCTCCCTCCTCTCCTGCCGCCTCTGCATGTGCTCGTAGATGTCGTTCATGCTCTGCGAGGCCTTGATGCGGAGGTTGGCGCCGGCCGGATTGCCCATGGTGTTTCTGCGGTGGCGGTAGCGTGCTGAACCCACGCGGCCATAGTAAGAGAATGTAAATGAGGGCTGGCGGTAGAAGGTGTGGGGGAAGCGGCGTGACCCGGCGGTGGTGCTGGTGTTGGACGGCCTCATGCCTGGCATACGGCCCTGGCTGTTGGCACCGCGGGCCGTGTGGTTGGAGGGGACGGCCGTGGCCCCTGAGGCCCCGTTGAGGCCCTTGGCTCCCTGGTTGGCCTGGTTGTCAAGCAACATGTACTCCCTGCTGTAGTAGGGGGAGGGGTCCTGAAGGAAGAGGGGCAGCTGGCTGTCTGCCTGGACCTGGGGCTGGGGGCCTTCCTGGTCCTGGATGCCCGAACCGCTGTAGGGTCTATGAGGAGTGCCTGGGTAGAAGTCCTGGAGGTAGTCCTGGGGGTAGTCCTGGAAGTCCTGGAAGATGGAGGGCTCGATGTCGGCCAGGAAATTACCGTCCTGGTCCAGGTCGGAGTCCAGCTCGATGGTGGCGTCAGGCATGGCCAGCACCGAGTCACTCTTACTCCTCACCCTGTCCATGTTGATAAAGACCTCTCTCGCTGACTGGGCGTCCTCCTCTCCTATAATGTCCAGCTGAGGTATACTACGAGGCCCCGCCAAGCCCCCCTTCAGTCTCCCTGAAGAGGACAGGCTGTCGGAGTCTCCCTCTCCCGGAGTGTCATCACGAGCCTCAAAACTCTCCTCCTTGATACTGAACATGTGTAGAATCACAGATATGGTGAAGATGACGGCAGCAAACACAAACAGGATCTGCTCCTGGGACTTGAAGGCCGTGCCCAGGATGGTGCTGGTCCAGTCCAGGCCACCCAGCATGTAGCCGACCGCTCCTCCCAGCCCTGCCAAAAACACAATGTCAAAACAAAATGCAGATGATAAATTAGTGTCATTATGTGTTTTTGGTTATTTCCCCTCAGGGAATCATCACGGGAGCAATCGTGACCAATAAAGGTAAAGATTGTATTTGTTTAGAGGGAGCTCCATGTGGCCTCACATTCCAAACATGTAGCGCCACCGATCATACACACCAGCTTCAACAACATGAAATTAAAACGCAAAGAACTCAAAAGTGACATGAGACACAACTTTTATAGCCCTCTTAATGTAACATTGTGCAAGAAGAACCGTTATAGAGTAACTGTGGATTTGGCATTCACCACCCCCAGTTACATAGTGATTCTATAAAGTGTCTTAGTGGTCTCTCCTCCCGCCCTCTCCCTGCCTCCTCCTCAAAACATCAGACGAAAGCGGAGAAAGAGAACAGGATATGAGGAGAGGAAATGTGCTTGTAGGGTCCTTAAATCCTCTTCTCCCTTCCCTCCGAACACAAAGAACCACAGACAGACTATGGAGAAGGAGCCAATACAACTACGGCAGCATAGTGTACCTGCAGAGAAGGCATGTATGTTGAGGGCCATGTCCTGCTCCTCTGTGTCGGCTACATCCAACAGGTAGGCTCTGATTGGCCCCTCTGAGGCGTCTGCACTGAAGTCCAGTAGCACCACACCCAACACCGTCAGCACTATCCCAACGGGCTGACTGTTGGGAACGTCCCCGAGGGCTAATCCTAGAGCATACAGAAAAATACCAATAATAATGCATTCTATCTATATAGCATAGTGCTTTCATTACAACGAATCATCATCTTTACAATACAGAAGAAAATATCATTTGTAGCCTATATACACGTTTTTTTCTTATGAGCATCTAAGGGAGGTTCACATTTCTAATATATGATGATTAAATAGTGCCTGAGTCCCACATTGCACCCTATTCCCTTTATAGTGCACTACTTTTGACCACAGGGCTCTATGGCTATGGTCAAATGTAGTGCACTTTATAAGGAATAGGGTGCCATTTGGGACTCAGCCAGTATCTCCCTCAAAACTAAGTACCAATGGATACTAGGCTCACCTATGAGGGACCCATTGAGGAAGAGAGACACTCCCAGTAACACCCCCACACAGAGTGCCAGGATGAAGGGTCTCCTGCGGCCCCATTTCAGGGTGCAGCGGTCGCTGGCTGAACCAATGAGAGGGGTGAGGATCAGGCCCAGGATGGGGCTCAGGAACCATGTCAGGCTGTAGTACTGCTCTGGAAGACCTGGGAGGATAAAAAAAACACTAAAAAACTTCAGTCAATATGCTTAAGGCTTTGGCCACAGAGAGACTGATCGCGGATTAAATCGTATTAGCATTCATCAATGAATTGTTTTTGTCTGTCAAAAGTTCAGCTATTACAAAATATTTTGCCTGCAGCCTAAAGGGCGTTCTTCATAGTAACACTACAGGCTAGAATCACAGTCTAGCCATTCCATAGTCACTAGCAGGTTTGGTGAGGAAATGCATTTCAAATCGGGGCGTGTGAGGTGAGGTGAAGTGAAAGGAGGTTTGTGGGTGGCTGGAATCATCTCAACGTAATGTGTTGTTCACTCTCCACTCTGATGTACTGTAGACCGCGGCTCAGAACTAGGCTGTTTTACTGAGCAGTATGGTGAAGGCTATGCTACTGATGCTCTACTTCAGTAGGCCTACACATTAAACAACAATCATTGTACGTCTCCCACTAGAATGTGTGAGAATGTGTGTTAGAGAATTGTCACTAAAAAGGAAAAACAAGAGGACCTGTTTCTACAAGCCGGTTGTTCATTGACCTAGATAGAGTCCTCACGCAAGACACAACTTGCTGGAAGAAGTCTGGAAACAAACTGACAATCTTTATCACTGCGAGACTTCCCCCTGTAGGAACGCTACAGTGAAATAGGCCTTGCAGAGCTATGGCAACAACAGAACAGAGATAGTGCAACTGGAAACACAATAAATGCTAGGTAGAGTGCACGTTTGAATTTGATCAGGAAAGGCTAAATGCGTAGCTTGTTGCGTTTATGGAGTGGAATGCACTGAATGTGACCTAGTTTGTTGCTCAGTCTGAGCAGTAAAATGGCTATTGAAATGTCACTGGCTTCTGGACAGACTTTTATAACTCTCTCAATCAATCAATCAATCAATTTTATTTTATATAGCCCTTCTTACATCAGCTAATATCTCGAAGTGCTGTACAGAAACCCAGCCTAAAACCCCAAACAGCTAGTAATGCAGGTGTAGAAGCACGGTGGCTAGGAAAAACTCCCTAGAAAGGCGAAAACCTAGGAAGAAACCTAGAGAGGAACCAGGCTATGAGGGGTGGCCAGTCCTCTTCTGGCTGTGCCGGGTGGAGATTATAACAGAACCATGCCAAGATGTTCAAAAATGTTCATAAGTGACAAGCATGGTCAAATAATAATCAGGAATAAATCTCAGTTGGCTTTTCATAGCCGATCATTAAGAGTTGAAAACAGCAGGTCTGGGACAGGTAGGGGTTCCATAACTGCAGGCAGAACAGTTGAAACTGGAATAGCAGCAAGGCCAGGCGGACTGGGGACAGCAAGGAGTCACCACGGCCGGTAGTCCCGACGTATGGTCCTAGGGCTCAGGTCTCACAGTTGGCTTTTCATAGCCGATCATTAAGAGTTGAAAACAGCAGGTCTGGGACAGGTAGGGGTTTCGTAGCCGCAGGCAGAACAGTTGAAACTGGAATAGCAGCAAGGCCAGGCGGACTGGGGACAGCAAGGTGTCATCATGCCCGGTAGTCCTGACGTATGGTCCTAGGGCTCAGGTTCTCAGAGAGAAAGAGAGAACGAGAGAATTAGAGAGAGCATACTTAAATTCACACAGGACACTGGATAAGACAGGAGAAGTACTCCAGGTATAACCAACTAACCCCAGCCCCCCGACACATAAACTACTGCAGCATAAATACTGGAGGCTGAGACAGGAGCGGTCCGGAGACACTGTGGCCCCATCCGAAGAAACCCCCGGACAGGGCCAAACAGGAAGGATATAACCCCACCCACTCCGCCAAAGCACAGCCCCCGCACCACTAGAGGGATATCCCCAACCACCAACTTACAATCCTGAGACAAGGCCGAGTATAGCCCACAGAGGTCTCCACCACAGCACAAACCAAGGGGGGGGCGCCAACCCAGACAGGAAGATCACGTCAGTAACTCAACCCACTCAAGTGACGCACCCCTCCCAGGGACGGCATGAAAGAGCACCAGCAAGCCAGTGACTCAGCCCCTGCAACAGGGTTAGAGGCAGAGAACCCCAGTGGAGAGGGGAACCGGCCTGGCAGAGACAGCAAGGACATCTCAGAACATGAACAACATATGAGAAGCTGGCATCAAGTCAGATGTTCTCACCAACATGTCTGTGACATTGTCCTTCTCATAAATACCAAGGAAAAGTAGTTCAACGTAGGCTACACATCAGGGGCCCGTAATGAATGACTGGGACTAGGTTATACTCAAGGGAATAGTGGGAAATGTCACCAAGACTTAACCTTTTACACTCATGGGAATTGGCCTATATGGATAGGGCTAAATTGAAATGTTTCCTACAGAACAAAATATGAAAAGCATATGCATAATCTTGGTAGCAATTGAAAGGGAAGAGTTTAGAGATAATGGGACAATTACTAGACCAAAGGAGAGTACACAACAGTTCACAAGACTGAATCCAACCGTTACACTGTTGATTTTACATTTACTCCACATTTGTTGATAATGAAATCTGAAAATACTCTGGATACATTCAGTAACATGCTCCTGCAGGTTCATGCTCTACAACATCCGTAGAGTACGACCCTACCTCACACAGGAAGCGGCGCAGGTCCTAATCCAGGAACTTGTCCTCTCCCGTCTGGACTACTGCAACTCGCTGTTGGCTGGGCTCCCCGCTTGTGCCATCAAACCCCTGCAACTTATCCAGTACGCTGCAGCCCGCCTGGTTTTCAACCTTCCCAAGTTCTCTCATGTCACCCCGCTCCTCCGCACACTCCAGTGGCTTCCAGTTGAAGCTCGCATCCACTACAAGACCATGGTGCTTACCTATGGAGCAGCAAGAGGAACTGCCCCTCCCTACCTTCAGGCTATGCTCAAACCCTACACTCCAACCTGAGCACTCCGTTCTGCCACATCAGGTCTCTTGGCCCTCCTAGCCCTACAGGAGGGCAGCTCCCGCTCAGCCCAGTCCAAGCTGTTCTCTGTCCTGGCACCCCAATGGTGGAACCAGCTTCCCCCTGAAGCTAAGACAGCAGAGTCCCTGCCCATCTTCCGAAAACATCTGAAACCCTACCTCTTCAAACAGTATCTTAAATAATCCTCCCCCTCTTCTAGCTCTGACTCTGACAACTACGTTATTGAGGAAAACATTTATTTCTATGCCTGTAGTATGTGGTTGTCCCACCTAACACGGTTTGGCTTGCTTGTATGACATCAAAGTGGTATTTAGTATAATCCTCAACGTCTCATCTTTCAAAATACAGAGTCATCTTAATTTACAGCATTTCCCTCACTCAGACAACAAAGAATTTACAAAAGTTGACCAATTCAACTCATACAAACCCATTCAAAACCCATACAGAGCTGTGAAGCGCAGAGTCAGAGCTCTGACGTCATGTATAGCATGTTACTGTACAGCCACTGAGCTCTGACGTCATGTATAGCATGTTACTGTACAGCCACCGAGCTCTGACGTCATGTATAGCATGTTACTGTACAGCCACCGAGCTCTGACGTCATGTATAGCATGTTACTGTACAGCCACCGAGCTCTGACGTCATGTATAGCATGTTACTGTACAGCCACCGAGCTCTGACGTCATGTATAGCATGTTACTGTACAGCCACCGAGCTCTGACGTCATGTATAGCATGTTACTGTACAGCCACCGAGCTCTGACGTCATGTATAGCATGTTACTGTACAGCCACCGAGCTCTGACGTCATGTATAGCATGTTACTGTACAGCCACCGAGCTCTGACGTCATGTATAGCATGTTACTGTACAGCCACCGAGCTCTGACGTCATGTATAGCATGTTACTGTACAGCCACCGAGCTCTGACGTCATGTATAGCATGTTACTGTACAGCCACCGAGCTCTGACGTCATGTATAGCATGTTACTGTACAGCCACTGCGTTCCAATTTAGGCGCATATTAGTGCCCAAATCTGCCATTTTCAACCAGTATACGGGTACGAGTGTAAAGGGTTAAAAAAAAAAACTTTTACCAGTATTTCGAAACATTATTATGTGCACTCACGTTTACTTCTATTATGACAATCCTGAAGGATCTGATTTAGATAAGCCTATGTTATCCAATACTAGTTAATTTGTAGCTAACCCTTTGCTGTGTGAAAATGTCTGCCTACAATGTTCATCATACATTGAAAGAAATGTGGAGCTGTTCTATGCTGTGTAGATAAAGCTAGCATAGAGACCTATTATCCATGTATCCTAAACTGTACATAGACATTACATCATAGGGACGGAGTTTGGCAAATCCCTTTACTACAAAACTCTTCCCGGCGGGAAAACAGGCTGACAAATGTGCAGACACACATTCTCGCCCTCCCTACCAAACTTTGTAGAAGCCATTGTTATTTTCTGCATTGGTGACAAACCTAGTAATGGCCCCTGTCTGTTATACTGCCTGTGCAAAGTGTGCAGATAGTTAACATAGCCCCACATAACTCCCAGCCCTTATGATGGAGTAAACCTAACAGAGACTGGGTTGGGACCAATCTTTGGTAACCAATTGGCAAACAATTATCAAAAAGTGTATATATGAAATGCCTTTGTTGATCCATTTTTAGTGGTCGAGTTACAACTAACACCCTCCATTGGTACCCACCTATTTGCAGTAAGACTGGTGTGACCAGGGCTGTCTCCATGGCGTAGCAGAACTCTCGTCCGAACATGACAGCTCCATGCATGACCCACTTGCGCAGGGGGATACGTCCCCCCCCTGCACCCTCAGCCAGAGACCTATCAGGACTCTCCTCGTCCCGCTCACTGTTCGGCTTCTTCACTGGCATCTCCACCACATCCTGACCTGGCAAAATGTCCAAGTCAGCCTTCTGGGGGACCATGGTCGCCGGCTCGTAAGGAGAGAGAAGTTATCACTGTTCCCCTAAGGCCTTAATGTAGTTCACGGTGCTGTCAGCTCTGATGTAACTAATTTCCCCTTTATGTTCAATCAGAGGACGTCTTTCTAAACAGCAACACTATACATCAAGGAAAAAATCCTGTTTATCTTTAGTTCTTTCGAGGTACTTTTGACAGCAATTCATAAGGTTGCGTGGCAAAACGCGGCTTTGTAAGAGATTCGTTCTCTTCACTGCTGGCTGCTGTACTGAATACAAATCCACATTAAGTGCCATTCAGATAGAGCCCATTTCATGATGTCTGTAGATGGGAGGCTGAGTGGGTGGGGGAGACGGGGGCCGGCGGTGGTGGACAACGTTCCTCTGTAGAGCCCCACGGGAGTGACTGATTAATCTGTAGAAGGGACACAGACAGACAGATACAGACAGTGTCAGACAGACAGCAAGAGCATGTTAAATGTGCAACCAGAGGCAAAGCTCTCCCTCGCGACCATAATTCTATCCTCCTGATTCCTGCTTATAAGCAAAAACTAAAGCAGGACGCACCAGTGACTCAGTTAATAAGGAAGTGGTCAGATGATGCAGATGCTAAGCTACAGGACTGTTTTGCTAGCACAGACTGGAATATGTTCCGGAATGTTCACTGACATTTTCAACATGTCCCTGACTGAGTCTGTAATACCAACACGTTTCAAGCAGACCACCATAGTCCCTGTGCCCAAGAACACTAAGATAACCTGCCTAAATGACTACCGACCCCCCGTAGCACTCACATCTGTAGCCATGAAGTGCTTTGAAAGGCTGGTCATGGCTCACACCATTATCCCATTATCCCAGAAACCCTAGACCCACTCCAATTTGCATACCGCCCCAACAGATCCACAGATGATGCAATCTCTATTGCACTCCACACTGCCCTTTCCCACCTGGACAAGAGGAACACCTACGTGAGAATGCTATTCATTGACTACAGCTCAGCGTTCAACACCATAGTGCCCTCAAAGCTCATCACTAAGCTAAGGACCCTGGGACTAAACACCTCCCTCTGCAACTGGATCCTGGACTTCCTGACGGGCCGCCCCCAGGTGGTAAGGGTAGGTAACAACACGTCTGCCACACTGATCCTCAACACAGGGGCCCATGCTCAGTCCCCTCCTGTACTCCCTGTTTACCCATGACTGCATGGCCAGGCACGACCAACACCATCATTAAGTTTGCCGACGACACAACAGTGGTAGCCCTGATCACTGACAACGATGAGACAGCTTATAGGGAGGTCAGAGACCTGGCCGTGTGGTGCCAGGATAACAACCTCTCCCTCAACGTGATCAAGACAAAGGAGATGATCGTGGACTACAGGAAATAAAAAAAGAGGACTGAGCACGCCCCCATTCTCATCGACGGGGCTGTAGTGGAACAGGTTGAGAGCTTCAAGTTCCTTGGTGTCCACATCACCAACAAACTATCATGGTCCAAACACACCAAGACAGTCGTGAAGAGGGCACGACAAAGCCTATACAACCTCAGGAGACTGAAAAGATTTGGCATGGGTCCTCAGATCCTAAAAAAGTTATACAGCTGCACCGTCGAGAGCATCCTGACTGGTTGCATCACAGCCTGGTATGGCAACTGCTCGGCCTCCAACCGCAAGGCACTACAGAGGGTAGTACATCACTGGGGCCAAGCTTCCTGCCATCCAGGACCTCTATACCAGGCAGTGTCAGAGGAAGGCCCTAAATATTGTCAAAGACTCCAGCTACCCTAACCATAGACTGTTCTCTCTGCTACCGCACGGCAAGCGGTACCGGAGCGCCAAGTCTAGGTCCAAAAGGCTTCTTAACAGCTTCTACCCCCAAGCCATAAGACTCCTGAACAGCTAATCATGGCTACCCGGACTATTTGCATTGACATCCCCACCCCACCCCCTCTTTTACGCTGCTGCTACTCTGTTTATTATCTATGCATAGTTACTTTAACTCTACCCACATGTACATATTACCTCAATTACCTCGACTAACCGGTGCCCCCGCACATTGACTCTGTACCGGTACCCCCTGTATATAGCCTCCCTGTTATTTTATTTTACTGCTGCTCTTTAATAATTTTTTACTTAACACTTATTTTTCTTAAAACTTCATTGTTGGTTAAGGGCTTGTAGGTAAGCATTTCACTGTAAGGTCTACACCTGTTGTATTCGGCGCATGTGGCAAATAACATTTGATTTGATTAGTATGTTAACCCAGACATAACCCATAGTCAATAACGCCTTTATAACCAATACACATCTTAGTGTTACGGACTCTGGAAAGGCCGATTTAGGCTAGTATTATGGCAAATTGACAGTTTACACCTATTTTATATTTTGAGTGGTCAGCAGTACAAATACAATAATGGCATTAGTAGCTAGTTGGGTCAAGTTTAATGATGCACGTTCAGCTGGGATGTTGCCAAATAGATAAGCAGAGCTGCTGCTGTAATCAGCCCTATTACTATAAAATTACACCTGCAATTAGGCTACTGTACTGTGTCAACCCATTCAGCTGTAGGAGAAAGTTCCTCAGATTGGATGAAGGAAACTCCATCCACGCAATCATGAAACACAAAAACTCAGTTAGTGCGTGAACTTGGGTGAACTAGCGGTCCTGTAGGAGTTCCAGAAGCTGTGAGATGAGAGAATAGTGTAGGCCTAGAAAGATAGATGTCCATTATGTGCTTCTAGTCACTGACCTTGCTTTGAGGGTAGATGAGGTAGCTAGCAACAACCCAAACAGGTGGCCTACTGCTCTAAGAGAGATTGAACTACATTTTATATAAATTTAAAAAAGACGGCTGGGATTTCCAATAAGGTCTTACAGTAATCCCTGTTCTGGAGAAAAGTACCACACAAGAAGTAGCCCCAAACTTCTTAAACTATGTTTTCTAAAGATCCTCATATGGAAAGTTACCTTGAAGTACCCACCCCCCAATGCTCCACCCAGTCTAGCTAGCTAGCTACAATATTCTCATGAGAAGAATAGTTGAGCGGTCGGAAATCCTGCTCATCGCTCATGGGGTGGTGCTTGTGTACCGCTCCACGTCCATTCCAACCGCTCTGCTAAAAGCCGCTCCTCTCTCACAGAAAAAAAACTGCAGCTCCAAATTCGCTCCATTCATTAAAATCACAATTTAACCAACAGCCATCCATTTTTGTGACTACCTGGACCTACCGTTTGGTTTTGAAGTATTGAAACCAAACCATATGATTTGAATGAAAAGTATTATAATAAACATGAAAAAAAATAGAAAAGAAGCGCTCATCATTTCAAATAGGGTACATGTAATATTAAACAGCATATACAGTGCATTCGGAAAGTATTCAGACCCCTTCCCTTTTTCCACTTTGTTACGTTACAGCCTTATTCTAAAATTGATTAAATTAAAACATTTCCTCATCAATCTACACACAATACCCCATAATGACAAAGCGAAAACAGGTTTAAAGAAATGTTTGCAAATGTATTAAAAACAGAAATACCTTATTTACATAAGTATTCAGACCCTTTGCTATGAGACTCGAAATTGAGCTCAGGTGCATCCTATTTCCATTAATCATCCTTGAGATGTTTCTACAACTTGATTGGAGTCCACCTGTGGTAAATTCAATTGATTGGACATGATTTGGAAAGGCACACACCTGTCTATATAAGGTCACACAGTTGACAGTGCATGTCAGAGCAAAAACCAAGCCATGAGGTTTAAGGAATTGTCCATAGAGCTCCGAGACAGGATTGTGTCGAGGTACAGATCTGGGGAAGGATATCAAAAAAATGTCTCCAGCCTTTGGGAATCTCGCTCCGCAAATTGGGCATGCTCCGCTCCTCACTCCGCTCACATACTGACTCCGGTACATTTTATTTTATTTAACCTTTATTTAACTAGGCAAGTCAGTTAAGAACAAATTATTATTTACAATGACGGCCTACACCGGCCAGACCCGGACGACGCTGGGCCAATTGTGCGCTTCCCTATGGGACTCCCAATCACGGCCGGTTGTGATACAGCCTGGAATCGAACCAGGGGGTCTGTAGTGACGCCTAAAGCACTGAGATGCAGTGCCTTAGACCGCTGCGCCACTCGCTGCGCCACATAGGCGGGGGGGCAGGGGTGCTCCAATACAGTAGGTGGCGATAATGCACCATAACTTGGATGCCAACCACCGAATAAACCCCAGCAGAAGAAGAGGCGGGGGCACAACGGTTGCTAAATATAAGCTAGTACACAACCGGGCACTGTTTTCCTGAAGTTCTGTTATGACAGGTGTTCGGCAGACGGGAGCAAAGGACACTCTGTGCTAGCTAGCTAACTAGCAAACCAATGGGATGCTCGAGGGGGGCGTTCCTATAGATGCAGTAATGCCCACATGCAGGAACGCCCCCTTATTGCGGGCTGCAGTTGCACATTATTGGTTGGGACCATTATTTTATACCTCAATGGTTCGGACACGTTTAAGACAGGACTGGTCAGGATGCTGACTGGCTGGTTCTTTATCTCAGAAGTAAGAAATAAGTATTTATCATCATCAACAACAACTTGCTAAATTTGCGAACAGCTAACGTTACAGTAGCTAGCCAAGTTAGCAGGCTAGCTCTTTAGGAGCTCTTTTGCAATTCCTCAGTCTGTAACGTTAGCTAGCTAACTATGTTCTGGCATGCGCTACCGATATATCATGGGTATCATTAGCCCCATATCTAACGTCAAAGCCCGCTATATTATAGACCATCTCCGCTATTAACGTTGGTGTGTATATTGTATAAGCTGTCTGGAACGCTAATGATACACCTGACAACTAACAGGTGTATTCACATGCTTAGACGGTAGCTAACTAGCTAGTTAACGTTAGCTTTGAAGCTAGCTACAGTATTTTAGCTAGCTATGGTGAATCTAAACCGTAGATAACCTGCTGACTTGTGATGGGCTACCGACTGCTGTCATAAAAATACACATCGAACATACCTGATCCCTTTTTCCAATGTAAATAAGTATTCAAGTTCCTTTCTTAGTCGCCCGTGTGCCTGAGTAGCCTCAGCTTGCTAGTTTTTTTCGACACGCTGCTGCCCAGTCCAATGCCAAATGCATTGCCCAATCTCATTAATTGCCACCGTAAAAAAGCAGTACCTACTGACATCACTAAAATCGATGACCAACTGCTCTAATTCTATCGAATGGGAGGCAAGCTTGGATGCTATTCAACAAATGTACACAACATTCAGTAGCATTTTTTGTCCAATGGACAACCAGTCCTATGATAATTGTAACAAACATAATAATAATTGAGTGGATT